TGCTAGGGGAATGATAATCCTTAAAGGATGGCAATGGGAGGCTTAATTTGCACAACGTTGATTTTGTGCGTGTGGAAAAGTAGATCTGCAACTTGGCTACTTTGAATTAAGAACAAAACAAGAGACAGAATCTTTCTGACAGGAGAGGGAAAGGGGCAGCTGGGTTAGAGAGCTGAACAGAGAAAGGATGCACGTTTAGCCAACAAGGAAGAAAAATGGTATGACAAAGGGAGATTGTTTTGGCTTGCAATAAACCTGTGCTTCCAAGAAATTTAATTGTATGCTCCTATTAGTCATTCATTCTGCTTACTGCTGAACCAGAAGCACTTCTAATCTATGGAACTAATTTACAGAGCGCTCAGCAGAAATCAGATTGGAAGAACGACAAACTGTTTGAATTAGGCTTGTAAATCTCTGCTGGTTAGATGACCCAGGATGAGAAAATGTCACCTCCAGGCCAACCATACAAGGAGACTGCATACATGATATATATTGGAAGGAGGGTTTGATTTCTTTTTCTTCCACGTGTCAGAAATACCATCAGTAGTTATGTGTGGAAAAGCAAGATTCATTGCAAAAAATTATTAGCTAGCCATTTATTTTGTGGGGGCTTAATGCTGTTTTGAAGAAGGTGCCATACCCTATTAGGCCCCCACAGCCCTCCCGGATGGTAACACCTTAGATGATGATCTCAATCCAAGACAATTTGCCCTGTAGGTCTCATGACCTCCTTCTGAGGAGGAGGAAGAGAAGGGGGAGGAGATGATCTCCGTAGATCTCCTGGAGAAGCACAACGAGAATTGCAAAATCCCAAGCTTGGCAACATAGAAAGAGCCCTTTCCAAGTGACAAGAACATTCCTGGGTTCAGAAGTACGTATCCTTAATGCAGCCTTTCCCAACCTGGTGACCTCCATATATTTGGACTCCAACTCCCATCAGCCACAGCCAGCTTGGCCAATGGCCAGGGATGGTGGGAGTTGTAGTCCAACAACATCTGGAGGGTACCAGATTGGGGGAATAAAAGGTTTGATCGCTGCTTCGCCTCCATTTCCTGAGAACAGTAGCAAACGCTCCATAGATTGCCTGCCCTCTGCAGAAGACATGCAAAGCTACTGCTTGACTTGTATTACTTCTGACAGCCTTTTGTTGCTGGACAAACCATGTCAACTTGCCACTGATGCACAATAAAAAGGAGCAGAGCTTATTGCTGGCTCATGTAAAATGCCAACTGCTCTGTACCTCTGGACGCTTTCCAAAGCTGATGTCAAGAATCATTCTCCCCAGCACTGCATAGGCAGAAGCAATTCTGATTTTTGTCCGTTTTTTAAAAAAGTGGATTTCTGCAGAATGAACCACCTGAGAACCAAGGCCTCCAGTCCTTTAGTAGCCACTGCAGGTAGGGGGGAAGGAGGGATAGAGTTGATGTTGCTGAATTTATCCTGTTCCATGGGTACTTGAGTCTTGTGTGGGAAGCAGGTAGAATCTGGCAAAATAAAGGCTCATCAAGATAGACAAGGCCAAACTACAATAGCCAAGGCCAGATCAAGTAGGCAAAGTCCAGGCAAGATAGGCAAAGTCAAGTCACACCAAAGCAGGGGACGTCCAGTCAGAAGCTTGCTTACACAGATGACAGACAAAAATAGGACTCTGGATAGCTCCAAGCGAGCTGGCTGAAGCTCTTTCCTTTTAAGGTAGCTATAAGAAGATGTTGTTCCAGTAGAAACGAAAGCCAACAGAGGCCTTATGGAGGCTGGCAAAAATGGCTGGTGGGGTAAGCTCTGCCTCCCTGGAAGAGCAGGCTGGGCTGTAGAGCTCCTCGCCTAATGTTGCAGTCCTGAACTTCTGTGAGGTTGGAGAGATGGGAGGCACTGAAGGAGACTCATCCTCTTAGTTAAAGGATGGAGGCAGGGCCATGTCCTCTAACCAGGAAGTTCTCAAACAGGAGAAACCTCTGGTTTTCCTTTTCAGGAAACAGCCTGAGACTCATCATCATCAGAATCCCCCACCAGCCACTGCAAGGTCTCAGAAATTCATGGCAGAGTTTATGCAGAAAATGTACTTTTCTTCTCCCAGCTAGGTTGTGAAAGCAAGATGCAAACCGGCCAATGTTGAACCTTAGGAGATTCAAGGGCCCTCCGACACCCAGGACTGATTGGAAGCACTTCCTTCTCTCTAAGATGCTGAACTAGTTTGCTTCTCCTTAGATCCCTACCAAGGAAGCTTCTATGTGTCCCCTTGCAGTTTGCATACAGATGTTTTTACTGGGTCTTTTCCAAGACACTTCCTCCCTCGACTACAGTGCTTGAATTAGGAGGGGGCAGGGAAGATAGGTAAGGACTTCATGGATTCCACAGTTCTCACCACTCATTCTTCCCAGTTTTTCCCACATCGTGTCCTTTCATAGCCTTCTAAAAGCAGGTCCTTAGGAAGCCATATCAGCAAATAAGCAGACTAGGCATCATTTGCCCCCACCCCTGTAACCCAAGCTCTGAACACAGGTGGCTATGGATAGGTAGCCTAATTAAACAAGACAGTGCAAAGTTACAAAACAGACTGCCCTACTCAGGTGAATTAGCAGAGAGACGTGGTGGACAGACCAAATTATGGAGGCCAAATTATGGTCCCTGTGGCCTTCTAAAACAACAGCTAAGGAGGTGAACCTAAAACATATTTCTCCCCCCCGTTGTAATCTAAGATTTTAAGAAAAGCCCTGCCATATCAGACAGAGGACCTATCTAATCTGGGATCCTGTGGCCAGAATATTATAGGAAGAGCACAAGCAGGGCTTGAGTGCTGTTGTTTCACAGAAGCTGGCGGCATTCAGAGGCATGCTGCCTTTGACCCAGGAGGAAGAATTTAGCCATCATGACTAGAAGCTACGATAACCATATCCTCCATGAATTTAGCTACCCCACTGTAAACCATCTAAGGTGGCATCTGTAATCCCTGCAAACTGAAGGCTGCCCACCCGCAGCTCTAGCAGAAAGGAGGCTTAGGTGATGCAGAAAACCGTCTGCTGTGTTTGTGCTCAGAGTTGGGTTACTGGCACTACGTTGGGCTCCTTGGTCATGGCAAAGCCATTTCATAGGGAAGGGAGCTGTAACTGTAAGCAAAGGTGATTGACTGGTTGTAGAGCAGCATGTCTGTCTGGAAGTGGGAAGGAGGCCCAGCAGCGACTGACCCACACGCTGACCGGTATTCCCTAGAGAAGCAGCGGAGTCTGCCAGTGCAGTTGTGGGCAACCTGGAGACAAACATTCCAGCCCCTGACTTTGTAAAGTTCGCCGACTGTCGATATAACCCCACCTTTGCTCCTAATCTGAAATCTAGGCTCACACTAATCTGTCCATCACAAATAAAATAAATAAATACATTTAAAATGCTCCTACTGTACACACAACATGGTTAGAACAGATGTTTCCCATCAGCTCGCTGTGCTATGACTACCCTCCATTCCAACTGCAGTGCACACTGATGGTGTATTCGTGCCAATATTTCTTTAAGGGCAAATATCTAATTTTCTCCCAGGGGATCGGAAATGGTTTGCTCAGTTTTGCTGGAGAATTCGAAGGGAGAATGCAGAGGTATTTCAGTCCTCCCTTTGCCTCGGCGCTGTGAAAGACGGCGAAATGGTCTACCTGGCGAGGTCTGCAAGGCTCCACACGGAGGGCATTCGGCCAAGCCAGGGATCGAATTACTAGAGCAAAGTCTTCTGCGAGTGGCCATATTTGGTAAAGCATGGGCTTAGCTCAGAGAGTACCAGCAGTGGAAGCGGACTGGGGCATTGCAGTCAAGTGAAAAGGCTTAAAATAATACAGTATTACAAGCAGAAGGGATAGGGGTCAGCTTAGGAAACGAGGCTTATGGGCTGGGAAAAGAAAGTTTTGATATGCAAAGAGTTGCAGCAGCTCTCAGCCAATAGCCAATGAAATTCTGGGGGGAAAAGATTGCCAAATACTTCACACTCTCCTAAGGTCCCTGTTTACTAGGAATGACCCTCGTTTTCTGGTACGTATCCCTGTAAATTGTCCCCATTCTGCCCTTTTGCATTGAGACTAATAGGTTGTAATGCCTTTGGGGAGGGACTGTGCAGTTTTCTTAATTTTTGTACAGTCCCTAAAAAACAGAGGTGCTTTATAATAACTAATAACAGAATGGGGTGAACACTGGAATAGAAAGCGTTCGTAGAGTTGGAATGGAATGAACCAGAGTTGAAAAAGGTCTTAAGCTTAATCCATTCAGAGCAGGAAGTTCAAAGGTAAGATTACTTTCAAGAGATGGCAGCTTAGTCCCTGTTTGAAGATGCCCACTGTCCCACGGCTAGGCAATTGGTTCCATCCTTGAATTGCTCTTACTGTTAAGAAGCCTTTTAAATGGGGTATGTGTGGAGGGGTATTCTTTTTGTTTGTTACTATGTTATGTACTTTTGTGTGTTTATATTGTAAACTGCCCTGTGATCCTCAGATGAAGGGTGGTATAGAAATCAATAATAATACAGTGGTACCTCGGGTTAAGTACTTAATTCGTTCTGGAGGTCCGTTCTTAACCTGAAACTGTTCTTAACCTGAAGTACCACTTTAGCTAATGGGGTCTCCTGCTGCCGCCGCGCCGCCGGAGCACGATTTCTGTTCTCATCCTGAAGCAAAGTTCTTAACCTGAAGCACTATTTCTGGGTTAGCGGAGTCTGTAACCTGAAGCGTATGTAACCCGAGGTACCACTGTGATAATAATAATAATAATAATAATAATAATAATAATAATAATAATATCAACCATTTTTTGCCATAAATGGCTGTCACCAGCTAAAAACAAACCTGATACATTGCACCAGAAGGTTTTTTCCAGCAGGAACTCACTGGAACTCAGTTCCGGCACCTCTCAGGTGGCCGCCATTGCAATTGTAAGAGAACAAGGGAGGTGTTCATAGTGAGTTCCGGCACCTCTTTATCTAGGAAAACAGCACTGTATGGAACCGTCTTAAAAAGAATAAGCAGACTTACCAGCCTGCAACCAAATCTGTTCCAGAGTCGTCCACAGCTGCATAGGCCCTTGCTTCAAGGCTGTACTGTGCATGGTGAATTCAGACATGGCCTGCTCCAGCCGCGAGGCTGCAATGGAAGACGCTCGCTGGGAGCCTGAAAACAAACAAATAAATACACTCAAAAACACTAATCTAGTTATCCAATCAAAATGTTGTTCTTTAGCTAATGGAGGTGGGGAGTGAGCTCCTTTCTCCATTCCTGATCTAAACCAAGGGTGAAAATATGTATATTAGGCAGCTTTCCAGAAGAGTCCAGACCTGTGTTTGTCTTAAAGCAGGCATGGCCAAACTTGGCCCTCCAGATGTTTTGGGACTACAACTCCCATCATCCCTAGCATACAGGACCAGTGGTCAGGGATAATGGGGGTTGTAGTCGTGACAGCAGCCACGAAATTAAAAGACGCCTTCTTCTTGGGAGAAGGGCAATGACAGGCCTAGACAGCATCTTGAGAAGTAGAGACGTCACCTTGCCAACAAAGGTCCGTATAGTTAAAGCCATGGTTTTCCCAGTAGTGATGTATGGAAGTGAGACCTGGACCATCAAGAAGGCTGATCGCCGAAGAATTGATGCTTTTGAATTATGGTGCTGGAGAAGACTCTTGAGAGTCCCATGGACTGCAAGAAGATCAAACGCATCCATTCTTAAGGAAATCAGCCCTGAGTGCTCACTGGAAGGACAGATCGTGAAGCTGAGGCTCCAGTACTTTGGCCACCTCATGAGAAGAGAAGACTCCCTGGAGAAGACACTGATGCTGGGAAAGATGGAGGGTACAAGGAGAAGGGGGCGACAGAGGACGAGATGGTTGGATAGTGTTTTCGAGGTTACCAGCATGAGTCTGACCAAACTGCGGGAAGTAGTGGAGGACAGAGGTGCCTGGCGTGCTCTGGTCCATGGGGTCACGAAGAGTCGGACACGACTAAACGACTAAACAACAACAAGTCCCAAAACACCTGGAGGGCCAAGTTTGGCCATACCTGTCTTAAATAAATTAAATCTGTGAACCAGAAGTTGGATTCCGCCGTTTGTATATATGATTTAAACTTCTGTACATTTGCACAACACTTGGCATATTTTCTCCACTTCGTTCAGCTATTTTTTCATATTTTATTTTGGCTTTGCTTGTTGTGAGGGAAAACATGGCACTATGCTTCCGAGCAGCCACAAATGTTATACGGCAGCAAAACAAGCTTTCTAGATTTCAAGCAGGCATTGGCCACACCTTTTCAAAAACAGCTTCACAACTCTGAGAACCGGAAACTAACCAGCTCAGCAGATTAGCAGGCTGAATTCCTGGCATTTCCAGTAAAATGCCAGTTAATTTCCAGAGAAATGGGTAAGGGAGCATGGCTGGGAAAGAAAACAAGGCTGAGACCCAGGACGGTTACCAACTGGCAGAGGAGACAGTAGTAAGCTAGGACGAAAAATGGTCAGGAACTCTGGTGCCCCGCAAGACGAATGCCTCGCAAGACGGAAAACCCGCTAGACGAAAGGGTTTTCCGTTTTTGAGTTGCTTCGCAAGACGATTTTCCCTATGGGCTTGCTTCGCAAGACGAAAACGTCTTGCGAGTCTTGCAATTTTTTTCCGCTCCCCCCCCTTTCTCTAAGCCGCTAAGCCGCTAATAGCCTTTTAGCCGCTAAGCCTTTAATAGCCGCTAAGCCGCTAAACCGCTAATAGCGCTAATCCGCTAATAGGGTTGCTTCGCAAGACGAAAAAACCGCTAGACGAAGAGACTCGCGGAACGGATTATTTTCGTCTTGCGAGGCACCACTGTATATTTTTCAGAAGCTAGGTTGTGTGCCCGGTGCCAAAATGCTGTATTCTGATGCAACTTCAGCACACAAAGTAAATGGTATAAAATGATATAGAGAACTGGACCCTGTATTTGTTTGTGTGTGTTTTTAAGAAAAAAATTGTTATAATTGGACAGAACTTTAGATCTCACTGAGGGGCTACCGCTCACACAGATAACATTATGTTCTGCAGACAGCCAAGAAAAGCTAACTCCACACAGTGATCAGAAAGTAGATTTTATTTACACATGTTTCCCACCATATTCACAGGCAACACTGTCTTTTAGATGTTCCTACGTGGCTGGGGTTTGTTTAAACAACCCAGACACATAGATGGGGCTGATTCTGTGGAAGAAATACCTACAGCTGGTCCCTACTGATGCGGCTGAATCATTTAAAAGTTCTTTCAGAAGGACAGGAGCTGTGCACGGAGACCCATTCCTATGCAGCTAAGGAAAAGGCTTTCTGAAAGAACAGCTAGCTATATGAATGCTGATCTTAAAAGAAAATGCAAATTTAAAAAGCCTGCCATCCGGAAGCTCAGTGTCAGGATCTCCCGGGAGTAGAACCAGTAACCATCTGATTCAAAGACTTGTACCTAACATGGTGAGCTACTGGGGCTCCACAATGAATGGTTTCCTAGGGGCTTAAGTGTCCCTAGGTTCTGGAATGTCTCTGCCTGCCCAGGCCAGCCATTGGCTCCCCTTGACCTGGAAGAACAATGAAAGCTTCCAGGTCAGGTTGGAACTTTGCCAAGGCAACAACAGACCTCCCTGTGCCTTCCCTTGGTGCCCAATTACATCCCAGCCATTACATGCAAATTTGGCTCTAGGAAAAGCTGTTTGGTGACCTGTATATATTAAGTGGGCATCTATTTTTGATTGACATCCAATGCCCTTTTGAAAATGTGTTGGGGAGGAGGGGATTATTAGTTCGTTCTTGTTTTTATTTTTAATATGTATTTTGTCTTTTTATATTGGGATTTTATGTTGTGAACCACCCTGAGACCCATGGGTATAGGGATGTGTACACATTTAATAAATAATAACAATAATTTTTGGGTATTCCATTGCTGTACATGGGACTAGGCTTCACCCTTGTCTATTGAGAAGCCTCTTCAGGATTTTAAGAGTTCATGTATTGTGTTCACAATTTATTGATGGGTTTAGGGAGAGAGCATGTCTACTGACACCTGGATCCCAAGCCTGCAGGGCTTTAAGGTAGGCACAAGCCTCGGTTGAGTATACCTGAAGGAGTGTCTCCACCCTCATCATTTATCCCCAGATACTGAGGTCCAGCTCCAAGGGCCTACTGGCAGTTCGATCACTGCGAGAAGCGAAACTACAGAGAACCAGGCAGAGGGAGTTCTTGCTAGTGGCGCCTGATCTGTGGAACGCCCACCTGTCAAGTGTCAAGGAAATAAGCAACTATTTGACTTTTATAAGACATCTGAAGGCTTCCTTATAAACATCAAGGAAGTTTTTAATGGTTGATGTTTTATTGCATTTTTAGTATTTTGTTGGGAGCCACCCAGAGTGGCTGGGGCAACCCATCAGATAGGTAGCATATAAATAGAAATATAATAGTTGTTGTTGTTATCACCCACCCCAACAGAGTCAGATTGGAAATTCGCCATGATGAGCATTGAAACTCAACAGGCAACCTCCTCTGTGGGCGGTTGCTTTGCTTGCTCAGAGAAATCTTCGATTATTTAGTGAATATATCCCTCTCGTATGTATGGATGTGAAAGCTGGACCATAAAGAAGGCTGATCGCCAAAGAATTGATGCTTTTGAATTATGGTGCTGGAGGAGACTCTTGAGAGTCCCATGGACTGCAAGAAGATCAAACCTATCCATTCTGAAGGAGATCAGCCCTGAGTGCTCACTGGAAGGACAGATCCTGAAGCTGAAGCTCCAATACTTTGGCCACCTCATGAGAAGAGAAGACTCCCTGGAAAAGACCCTGATGTTGGGAAAGATGGAGGGCACAAGGAGAAGGGGACGACAGAGGACGAGATGGTTGGATAATGTTCTCGAAGCTACCAGCATGAGTTTGACCAAACTGTGGGAGGTAGTGGAAGACCGAAGTGCCTGGCGTGCTCTGGTCCATGGGGTCACGAAGAGTTGGACACGACTAAACGACTAAACAACAACAATCCCTCACATCACACTCATGGGAATAAACAGCCTACTGCCAGGAAGCCGCTTCACAAATCCTGGATAGGAAGTCTACCTTCATGCGAATGTCTGTGCTGGGTTCGGGCTGCCAGACATTTTCTGCTTTGTTTCTCTTACCAGAGTCGGTGTCGTGGGCATCGGGGAGAGTGAGATACATGCTGTTGTGTTTCTTGATTGGCGGCGCCTCGGCCAGGCTGCTTTCCTTCTCCAGATCGCTGCAAGGGAATGACAATGGCCACAAGGTGATGGATGGTTGTTTATGGGAAGCTCAGGAGGGACAGGCCTACCAAGTGAGCATCATATCTCATCCAATTGCCACCAGCTCTGAAAGCTGAAAACATCTGTGCCTATGTGATAGCGGCTGTCAGAATGCACCGTGTTGGGGGGGGGTTCTGTCGAAGAGATGGGAATTGGTTGTGTCACACAAGCAACGCCCCTGCGAGGCATTCTGACAGAGCAAACTAGCAAGGCGATGTGGAGACGCTGCTGCTGGTGATGGACGCAGCTCTGAGGAATTTGGCACATATCAGTCAAGCATAGTTTAGCCCCTCCGGAAATCCGGCTTGCCTCTCCTTTTCCTCATTGCGTAAGAGTGGAGATCTCATTTCCACCCATGGTCGGTCGGAAATCAAATTCTGTTTACCTGGCTAATAATAATAATAATAATAATAATAATAATAATAATAATAATATCTGGGGCACGGCTTGACTAACATAATTAACCTATTTTTGAAGGAGTTGTTTTAGGCAGCACGTTGATAGGTTTAGAGAGAAATGAGCCACATTTATCTGTTTCCGGAACAGTAATTTTCATGACGGCGTGCATCCATGGTTTTTTCCTTCAATGTTGCAGCTATCTTTTATATCTTGTTAATAACTTTTTCTTTTTTCCCTGTGGCTTACATATTCTCATTTTGAGGACCGTTGCTGTTGTTATCACCCTCTTATTTCTATAACACTATTACTTACTTTATAGGATAAAGAATTATCTTTTTTTTTAATAAAAAGAGACATCATTATTTATTTATTTCTCTCTTTCTATGATATTTCTGTTCGAAACAGCTTGCTGAAATAGATAAATGGGTTTATGAGGCTGCCCATCATAGCGAGAGATTGCCTTGCCTGAAATTTCCATCTTCTCCATGAAGAAGAAGAAGAGGAAGAAGAAGACATTGATTTAAATCGGGAGGGGGAGAGGAACATACTGCCACCAAAGAAATGTCAAAATTGTCCCCCCCTTTTTTTTAAAAAAAGGAAATCGCCAAGAATTTGAAATCATCAACTAAAACAGTAAAACACACACACACACACACACACACACACACACACACACACACACTTCAGGCTGCAATCCTAACCCCCACTTACCTGTCGGCTTTTGGAAAGAGGCAGGATGGTTCCATAGACATGTCAGAGCCCTGGCACCTCCTTCACAAAGCCTTCTGGAAGCTTCTACTCAGCTTAGGGAAGGAGGCGCGATGCTCATGTGCATGATGTTAGAACGTCACACACATGACATCGACCCCCCCCCCAATGCTGCTCGCAAGCTAGCGGCTCTGGCCCTAACTGTTCCCCTATAAAAAATATTTCACTGCACACCAGCCAACCCTGGGTGGGCTCGAACCACCAACCTTCTGGTTAACAGCCAGATGCATTATGCCTCTAAAGAGACAACAGAAAGAGAATCATATCTGCTTCCTACTGGAGAATATTCCAGAGCGCAGGAGCCTCCAACAGAAAAGGCCTTGATTTGTATGGAGGTCAACTGAACCTAAGTTTCTGTGAGGAACTTAAGTGTTGGTCAGAGATTCAGAAGGGTTTTAAAGATCAAAACCAGCATCTTGAACTAGGCCTGGACATTTATTTGCCACATTTATACCACACTTTTCCTCCAAGGAGCTCAAACGGTGTACATGGTTCTCCCCCTCCCTATTTTATCTGTGTGACAGCCCTGTGAGGTAGGATAGGCTGAGAGACAGTGGATGGCCCAAGGTCACCCAGTGGGGATTTGAACCCTGGTCTTCCAGGGCCCAGTTCAACCTGGCTTGTCTAGTAACTGGCAGCCCACGCCGTTGCCTTCAGATAAGTGGCATGTACGAGAATGCCGGCTCAAACCTGTCAACAGCACGGGTGGCAGCCTTTTGCGCTAATGGGAAGTTTCTGCAGCATCTTCAAGGGCAGTTATGAACTTAAGAGTTCGTAACTGTAACCTGATCTGCAAATCACCAGGCAGGAACAAAGGGCAGGGGCCAAGTGTCAATTTGCGCTACGATCAGAGAACTCGCTGTCTATGCGCAAGTTGGGCTGTGGAAACACTTTCAGGTGGTGTAAATATAGGACTGGAAATTCAAATTACAGCAGCAATCATGTTTTACTTCATTTCTTAAAGAAAAATTCTGCATGAAAAAATAACAATAAATGACCACATAGAACACAGCTGGAGACAAGCAGCAGCAGTTGCTGCCTGGGCACCAAGGAAAACGTGTGGCAGAGCTGGTCTCTAGGCACACTTGCAAGAAGTCCTGCATCACTACCTGGATACAGCTTTCCTGGGGTATCATAGAATTATAGAGCTGAAAGGGATCAAAAGGGTCATCTAGTCCAACTCCCGGCAATACAGGAATCTTTCGCCTGTGAGGGCTGAACCCATGACCTTGAGATTAAGAGGCTTATGCTGTACCAATGGGGATGGGAGATGGGTTCTCTTCCAGGGCCAATTTATGTGGGTTTGTGTGATGGCAGTGGTGGAATTTGGCAAGCAATCTGGCCCAGTTGGGGATGACTTCAGATTAGCTCTAATCCAGCCTTTCTCAACCTGTGGGTCCCCAGATGTTGTTGAACTACAACTCCCATCACCCCTAGCTAGCAAGGCCAGAGCTCAGGGGATGATGGGAGTTGTAATCCAACAACATCTGGGGGCCCACAGGTTGAGAACCGCTGCATGATAGTCTAATCTGTTATTTTGCCTGATTTGAAATCCAGCAACAGGTACAGTGTAGCCCTGGACAACAATTGTACAACAATTTGTGGGCTGAGCTGTAATATTGTGTGAGTGTGTGTGTGTGTGTGAGAGAGAGGGGGGGGGGAGAGAGAGAGAGAGAGAGAGAGAGAGAGAGAGAGAGAGAGAGATATGATGGAAGGACAGTCCCGCTTCCCAGTAGTGTTCAGATCTAGGATTCCATACTTGCCAGTCTACAACCAACACATGGCTGCAACAACAGTTATTATTTAGGAGGCTCTGGTTCTTATAAACCCGACTGGTTACATGACACTGCCTCCTCCTTTCCAGGTGGTATAAAGTAACACCAGTTCATGCACTTAATAGTTTCTACAGATTTCATGTCTCTTAGTCAGGCACATATATAGAGAGTAATCCCGGACCCACTAACTTGCTTGTAAGTCCTACTGCCCTCCATAGGATTTGCAAACATTTAAGTGCGTGCAGAATTGCAACCTTATGTGCTTAGTTCTTGCTGCTGTTGTTCTTTATATCCTTTCTCATTTTTTGAGGAAAATGAAACACCAAAGATGAACTTCAAAAATCTAGAAGCATTGCTCTCCCTCAGGTAGCCTTGCAAATAAGTTCAGAAAAATCACTAGCCTACAGTGAAGTTTATTAGCCTGCTTCCCCACACATAGCTATGTTAATCATAAAGGTAAAGGTATAGGGACCCCTCACCATTATATCCAGTCGTTGCCGACTCTGGGGTTGTGGCGCTCAGCTTGCTTTATTGGCCAAGGGAGCAGCGTACAGCTTCCGGGTCATGTGGGCAGCATGACTAAGCCGTTCTGGCAAACCAGAGCAGCGCACGGAAACACCATTTAGCTTCCCGCCGAAGGAGTACCTATTTATCTACTTGCACTTTGACGTGCTTTCGAACTGCTAGGTAGGCAGGAGCTGGGACCGAGCAACGGGAGCTCGTTGCGGGGATTCGAACTGCCGATCTTCTGATTGGCAAGCCCTAGGCTCTGTGGTTTAGCCCACAGCGCCACCCGCATCCCCTGATGTTAATCATGTGAGGCCTTAAAAGGGGGGGGGCTGTAAGAATCCTCCCTGCAGGATAACAGTTGGAGTCAAGATCAACTCCAGGTTCTTAAGAATCTCTGGACAAGATCCACTGACTCTGACCTGTTTTGCATGTCATGATAAGCCAAACCATGGTTTAGTGCAAATGAGCAAATACGTGAGCTTTGGTGAAAAGATCACGACTGCTTCGCTCGTCCTCTGGCCCTGATGTTGTTACTTTGCAGTAAGCTAAGTCACAGTTTGGCTTAGTGTTACATCCGAACTTATGGTTTATCTCCAGGTGAGCCGCATCCTATAGCCAAGGTTACTTCCATGGTTTGACTGGGGGAGGGAAGCCAAGAACCCAGGTTCAGACATAACAGTAAGTCAAACCCTGGTTTAGCTTACAGCAGCATGACAGTATGAGGACCACAGGAGGAGCAAAGCACCACCCATCTTTTCTTCAGGAGCACACACATTGGCTTGTTCATGCTTCAACATATCATTCCAAAGACAGTTAATGCCTAGTTCTCTCTAAAGTGGTAAGCCTGGGTTACGGCTGTGCCACTTCAGATGGCAGGTGAGGGGGTTACATGACGTAATGGTCCTCCACACAGTAAGTACCCACAGAAAACCATCATATCAAGGAGAAGAGTGCAACCCAACCTTTCAAACATTATTGAATTTTTTTAAAAAAAATAATTTAACCATACATAAAGTTGTTTTCTTCCAAGACAAACACATGCACAGATGTTAGGTCTTGTATGTAGTCATCCACATGGCATCAAAATAAACTTGGGAAAACTTTTACCTTACAGGTTAAGCTCACACCCATAGGGTATACTTCAATCTAAAAGCAATAAGATAATTTATCCATAGTAGTACAGATGAGGCAACCTCAGAGAGAACAAAAAGCAACTCCAGTTAGAGGCAAACTCTTACCTGAGCTGTGAAACATTATGAAGCATCTGCCACTGGTGCAACATCTGCCTACAGGTCACTAAAGCTTCTTCTGGGCCCTTGTGCACCAATTCCAGTTTCACTTTGGTGAAGAGTAAACTGCAAGAAGGGCAGGGAGAAAGGGAAGAAAATTACGATTTCATTTTACAGGCATGTCTTTTATCAAGGGAAGCATTACCACTTATGAATGGATGGAGCTTAGGGACTTGCTACCATGCCAGGTTTAGCAATGAATCTCCAGGTTTTCAGTTAGATCATATATGCTAATAGTGAACTCGGGTGAACATTGCCAGGATTGTAGCCAAAATGGATCCACTGAGAAGCAAGAGGGGTGGATCAGAACAAGATGGGGGGGGGACTGTAATGCTCTGGGACAGTGATGGCCAAACTTGGCCCTCCAGCTGTTTTGGGACTACAATTTCCATCATCCCTGACCACTGGTCCTGTTAGCTAGGGATGATGGGAGTTGTAGTCCCAAAACAGCTGGAGGGCCATCACTGCTCTAGGAGATACTAAATGTCTGAGAGCGATGGCAACAAAAAACTGTTGGTGGTGGAATGGAATAGGACAAGGCATGGTCAACTAGGAGAACTCCCACTGTAACATTTTGTTGCTGGTCCTACTTGTTTTCTAGGTAATTCCACTGTCACCAAACACTCTAATTTCTCTCTCTCTCTCTCTCTCTTTCTCTTTGCACTTTAGTACTGCAAACAAAACAGCTCCTCCAAATGGGTAGAAGAGTGTGAAGTTATACAGTGGATGCTCGGGTTGCGAACGTGATCCGTGCGGGATGCACGTACGCAACCCGCAGCGTACGCAACCCGCAGCAGCGCGTCTGCACACACGCAGGTTGCAATTTGGCACTTCTGCGCATGCACAACCACCGAAACCCGGAAGTAACCCGTTCCAGTACTTCCGGGTTTCGGCGGTCCATAACCTGAAAAAAAGCAACCTGAAGCATCTGTAACCCAAGGTATGGCTGCACTTAAATGAAAAAGCCTCCAAGATTATCAGGAACAAGTTTAAAGACAAAGTATTGGTGCAAACCAGACCCCTCGCTCCGTTAGGCTTGCTACCCATTCTTTAATTCAAAGAACAGTAATACAACATTTTAATATATATTTTTAAAGCTACTCATTGAAATAAGCAATGGGCTGCAATCCAAAACCCATCAGGGACGGTGGTCCCAGCATCACTCCATTGGTGAAGACCACCAGCTGAATATGTGGCCAGATGGAACAGCTGCCGGCAGCCAGCAGAGAGCCCTGGAAAACTCTGCCCCTGAAGTAGAGAACTTAAAAAGAATGTTTATCTCAGCTCCTCAAAGGTTAGTGGAATGCCACTATCATTCCTCAAAGATGCCAGAGTTTCTAGATGACTGTTTACGTTGCAAGCTGCAAATGAGGTTGCAGTTCAACCTGCCAAGCAGGAATGCCAAATGCACAACATGGAAACAGACATGCACACCCCTTCGCCAGGCACACAGGGTAAGTTGTGAATTGGAAAGTTCACACATAATATATCCATATATGCATACGGTCAATTCCCTGGCATGGGTAACTTATTCAATGCATTATAGTCCTCTTTAGGCATTATGAAAAGGGGAATGTAAATGCACAAGGAAGTGTGCTAGTCTCAACCCCCTCCATCATTGTTTCCATCGCCTTGCAACTCACAGAAGGTGACTTTCTGCAGGAGTCAGCCTGCCGCATAATCTGTGCCACAATCCTATCAACATTACCATTCATTATCCTTTACAAAGTTCCACACACACACACACACACACACACACACACAGTGGTACCTCAGGTTACATACACTTCAGGTTACAGACTCCGCTAACCCAGAAATAGTGCTTCAGGTTAAGAACTTTGCTTCAGGATGAGAACAGAAATCGTGCTCTGGCGGCGCAGCAGCAGCGGGAGGCCCCATTAGCTAAAGTGGTGCTTCAGGTTAAGAACAGTTTCAGGTTAAGTACGGACCTCTGGAATGAATTAAGTACTTAACCCGAGGTACCACTGTGTGTGTGTGTGTGTGTGTGTGTGTGTGTGTGTGTGTATATATATAATCTCATACATCAATTTACATAAACAATACATACAATAAATACAATACATACCCAACATAGATACCCCATAAATGTTGACTTCCAACTCCTCTCATTGGGTTATTTTACTATTTTAATAGTTTAAGTGCATTTCATTTTGTTTTTCTGATTTCCCTTTTTTCCATGCTACTTTTGCTTTACATTTCCTCTATTTTCTAGATTCATTCTATATCTGTCAGGAGATTTACCTTATCCATATACCGTATTTCTCGAGATATTCCTTAAAACTTAGCCATTCCTTATTAACTTTTTGAGTAGTGTTTCCTCTTATTCTCCCTGTTAACTTTGCACAGTGTAGATATTCAATCATTTTCGATAACCAGTCTGTTTTGGTGGGGATGTTGTTACTTTTCTAATTCTTGGCTATTAGAATCCTTGCCGCTGTGGTTGCATACATAAATAACGGTCTAAAAATTTTCTTGATTTCTTTGGACATAATACCAAGTAGGAAGGTTTTTTTTATGAAAGAGAATTTGAACATTTTTTAAAGTTCATTATAAATGGTATCCCAGAATTCTCTTACCCATTTACACTCCCACCACATGTGTATAAATGTGCCTACCCCATTTTTACATCTCCAACATATATCAGTACTGTTCTTCTACATTTTAGCCAATTTGGTTTCCCTTCAGATTGTATAAATCTTTTGCCTTTACAAACTTCCTAATATGTGCTGTGTGTTGTAAAGAACTTGGTAGTCACATCACATCAGGGGCGCCGACTTATAAAAAATATTGGGGGGGCCCATACCGGGGTCCTGCCCCGGGAAGTTTTCTAAATTTTAGATGAAAATTAGTTACATTAAAATTAGTTACATTAAAATTAGTTACATAATTAGTTACATTAAAATTAAATGCCGTTACAGTTTTATTTTGGGCGCCTCCGGTCTCCTCCTCCTGCTTTTCCCGTGCTCCATCCCCTCGGCGACTTCGCGCTTCCAGCAGAGAAGCTGCGCGCAGCTCCGGGCGGCGGATGGGAAGACCCCCTCGCGGGTTTTTCACGCCTGGAGAGCGCCAGTTCGGAGCGGGCCGCAGTCTCCGCTGTTGCCGGCCGGCCTGCACAGAGGGCTTCTCGGTTTCAGCTAAGTGTGTGCTAAGTGTTCAGCTACCCTGAATTCAGTTATGCTAAATTCAGTTATCCTGCGCCCCAAGTCCACATGCCTCGTTTTCACCCCAAAAGGGACAAGCCGGAGTTATGGTTAGCCTAGCGGCGCCCTGACTTTTTAAGCACAGCGGAACCTCGAACCTCGCCTCCCTTTGAGGGCTTTCTCTCCCTGAGGCAGACCGTCTTCATGGGCGCGGGGGGACCCTAAAGAACAAAACTTCTCCGAACTCACATAGCACTTCCTTTCAGCTATATAGCCCGGGATCCCCTTTTTTTCTTTGTCTTTTTTTAATTCGCTTGTATTCTGTTCTGAAGCATATCGAACCCTTCCGACGTTTATATGTCTCCACCAGCCAGCTTGCTCGGTGCAAACTGCCCCAATCAGTCTGAAAAATTGGGTTTTTCGTTCTGCTAGAAATAGCGCGCAACTCTGGCGCTTCCCCCCGCACCCCACCCCACCCCAAAACTAAATTAACTCCGGGCTTATGGTCTCCTCTCCACCCCCTCCCGCAATAAGGAACGACTTGGGGGTGTACAACGCGCGTTTACCGGGAAGTTTGCTCCTCAATAAGAATGCTTAGCAGCGCAGCCTTTGACAAAAGACGAATAATGTCCCGGAACTACTATTTTATTTTTAAAATGCTTAACTTCGGTTGGGTCGCGCGTTTTCTCTCTTATTTCTGCGACTTCGCCGTTTATTTTTCATTTGATCCCGTTTTGAAACACGGCTTTGCGCGTCAGCCTCGGCGCAAACTCATGGAAAGGCGATTCACACGAATAAATAGGTGTCCCAAAGCCGAACACAATTAAAGCACTGTAAGCGCCGGGGCTCTGTGGAGGAATCACAGAATTGTTGAGTTGGAAGGAACCTCAAGGTCCATCCAGCCCAATCGCCTGCAATGCCGGAATCTCAGCTGAGGCATCCGTGACAGTTGGCTACTGAGCGCGTGTTTACATCGCTCCGTTTTCAATCTGATTGTTTTAAAACTGGCTGGATTGTGGCCGATTAAGTAAATAAAATAGAAGCAGAGTGGAGCGGAGCACTCAAAAGCGGCTTGAGATGTTGGTTAGTCCACTGCAGGAGAAAACAAACCATTTCCGCCCCGCAGAGCAGGCGCGGTGGGTTGTTTTGCTTTTGGATTTTTTACATTTTCGGTGAGAAATTGGCCTCTCCCTTCAGTTCCTTCATGTCACCTTCTTCCCATAAGGGGTCGCGTGCAGGAGCGCCGAAGAACCAAGAGTGGGCGGGGACGAAGGGAGACGAAGCCGGGAAGTGACGGAGGCGACAGAAGGTAGCGGCGCGCGTCACCTTCTATCCGAGGCGCGTGGAAGCAGAATGAAGCGGCTGGCAGAGAATCGCCGGGGGGGGGGGGAATGAGGCCGAACTAATAATTTTCTTAAATTATTGGGGGGGCAGAGCCCCCCCCCAAACGAGTTTTTGAGGGGGCTCGGGCCCCCTCAGGCCCCATGGAGTCGGCGCCTATGCATCACATCCACTACAGATGAACAGCACCCAAGATACAGGCACACCTAGGAAACGCAGATATCCTCCATCATCTTGTTCTGTTCTATCTGCTCTTATTTCTTGGCATAACTAACAAGTTCTATATTCATCTTCCGCATTTGATGGGTGGGGAGAGGAAAGGTAGTGCCTGGTGCTTGGTAGTGCCTGGTGCTGCCTTTTATGACCATTAGGTTATCCCTTGTCGAAGGGAAACTCCACACTGGAGTAGAAATCATACATTGAACAGATGGAAAGCTCTTCAATCTGAGCAGGCTGAAATCTTCCATCATAGAGCTTCAGTATGCTGATGACAACGTAGTGTGCGCATGCTCAGATGGTGACCTCCAAACCATCCTAAATATCTTTGCAGAAGCTTACAAAAAG